GCTGCAGTAGGAATATAACTCCTAGTGACAATTGTCAGTAATGGATCCCACCTGGCTCACCTTCAGATGCTAGCACAGAGGTGGGCAAACTACGGCCCACAGGCCACATCTGGCCTGTGGGACCCTCCAGCCCAGCCCCTGAGCTCCTGCCCCAGGAGGCTAGCCCCCAGCCCCTCTCCAGCTGTTCCCCCTCCCCCACAGCCTCAGCTCGCCCTGAGGTGAATGGCAATTGGGACAGATTACAACATGGGTTTACGAAAGGCAGATCGTGCCAAACCAACCTGATCTCCTTCTTTGAGAAAGTAACAGACCTTCTAGATAAAGGAAATGCGGTGGATCTAATATACCTCGATTTTAGTAAAGCATTCGATACGGTACCGCATGAGGAATTATTGGTTAAATTAGAAAAGATGGGGATCGATATAAAAATCCAGAGGTGGATAAAGAACTGGTTAAAGGGGAGATTGCAGCGGGTAGTACTGAAAGGTGAACTGTCAGGTTGGAGGGAGGTCACCAGTGGGGTTCCTCAAGGTTCGGTTTTGGGTCCGATTTTATTTAATCTATTTATTACTGACCTCGGAACCGAATGTAGGAGTGGGCTTATAAAGTTTGCGGATGACACAAAGTTGGGAGGCATTGCCAATTCGGAGAAGGATCGGGATATTCTGCAGGGAGACTTGGATGACCTTGTAAATTGGAGTAATAATAGGATGAGATTTAATAGTGAGAAGTGTAAGGTGATGCATTTAGGGATGACTAACAAGAATTTTAGTTATAAGCGGGGGACGCATCGGTTGGAAGTGACGGAGGAGGAGAAGGACCTCGGAGTCCTGGTTGATCGCAGGATTACTATGAGCCGGCAATGTGACGTGGCTGTGAAAAAAGCTAATGCGATCTTGGGATGCATTAGGCGAGGTATTTCTAGTAGGGACAAGGAGGTGCTGCTTCCGTTATACAAGGCGCTGGTGAGACCTCATTTGGAGTACTGCGTGCAGTTCTGGTCTCCCATGTTTAAAAAGGATGAACTCAAACTGGAACGGGTACAGAGAAGGGCCACTAGGATGATCCGAGGAATGGAAAACCTTTCCTATGAAAGGAGACTCGAGGAGCTCGGTTTGTTTAGCCTAACCAAAAGAAGGCTGAGAGGGGATATGATTGCTCTCTTTAAATATATCAAAGGGATAAATACCAGGGAGGGAGAGGAATTATTTCAGCTCAGTACTAATGTGGACACGAGAACCAATGGATATAAACTGGCCGTGGGGAAGTTTAGGCTTGAAATTAGACGAAGGTTTCTAACCGTCAGAGGGGTGAAATTCTGGAACAGCCTTCCGAGGGAAACGGTGGGGGCGAAAGACCTCTCTGGCTTCAAGATTAGGCTAGATAAGTTTATGGAGGGAATGGTTTGATGGGATAACGTGATTTTAGTCAATTAGGCAATAACGGCCATCGCTGGTAAAATGTGGGTCCGGCTGGAGAATCTTGCCTGTATGCTCGGGGTTCTACTGATCGCCATATTTGGGGTCAGGAAGGAATTTTCCTCCAGGGTAGATTGGCAGAGGCCCTGGAGATTTTTTGCCTTCCTCCACAGCATAGGGCAGGGGTCACAAGCTGGAGGATTCTCTGCGACTTGAAGTCTTTAAATCACGATCTGGAGACTTCAACAGCTGAGATAAGGGAAATTGGGTGGGTCAGCTTTTGTGGCCTGCATCATGCGGGAGGTCAGACTAGATGACCATAATGGTCCCTTCTGACCTTAAAGTCTATGAGTCTATGAGTCAGTGCAATGCTCTGGGCGGCAGGGCTGAGAGCTCCTGGGGCAGTGCAGCTGCAGATCTGGGGCCTGACTCAGTGCTCTGTGCTGCGCGGTGGCGTGGCTGGCTCTAGCCAGGCGGCATAGCTGTAGTGCTGCTAGCCACCGGTGCTCCAAGC